TGTGCCATGTCTGTTTGTTGGGGTTTCCATTTACCGCTTCGGTCTTAGTACTAGTTACGTGTTACTTATGAGAAAAAATGATTTTTATATAGTCAGTGAGATAACTACCGTGAAATGATTTGTCTGATTTTGAATAGTCATTTAGCAAGTTATTTCAAATCATCGTATATCGAATACTACATCAACCTAACCACCCTACGTGGTACTTTACTAACATTATACAGGAATGGTCACCTCAGGGGACATTATTTAAACTTTTGCTCCAAAAGAGTCGGTGCCACCCTCAGAGTTTGTAATGCCTGGAACTCTTCTTCCTCAAGTTGTTCATGCTCCAACCATCGATTTCCAACTGCTGAGCATCCGGGAGTGAACGTTATCATTTGATATTTACATGTATCACCAACCGAACGCAGTGTGTACAGATCCTGTGGGATTCAATAAGCATCAGTCTTGTAATTTACCGATTATAAAAAAAATGAATTGGAAATGTTCTGATGAGAAATTGTATCAATGCACACTCCTGATTGATGGTAATTCAGTCTCTGAGGGATTAGGATGGCTTAATGGGTCTTGATGAGATTAATAAGTTATTCTTGTCAGCGAATGTTTGGATGTAGGTAGGCATGCTAAATTAGATAATAGTGCTTTGAGGATCGAAATTTATTATTTCCACACCTCAGAAATTAGAATTTGGGCAGACATGTGTGGATTTGTTTGCTTTTTCACTTTCGTTGTCCATATGGTCGGTAGTCGGTGTTCAGACTGGGCGGGACTGTTCTTTGTCGCTAGTTTAAAATAGATTGAATTTTTGTCCATGGAAAGAATCGAGAAACGATTGGATTTTTAACCAAACAGCAAGTAAAAGTTACACTGTTATTATCCACCCAGTCGGAGAATTCCCTTCTCGCATGTACACCGCCAGTTGTTGCAGGTTGCGACTCCGCAACTATTCTACTCGATGCCGCCGAACCCGATGTCAAATTTTTACCGATCCAAGGATCTGGGGACTTTTAGGTATGCGATGAGCACCTCGTGGTATTGAAGGCTAGTGCATATCCATCTTTGTTCGGCATGAAAGCTTTCTTAGCTTAATGTTTATGGTGGTGATATTGCGCGGTAATTTAAATCCCTAGTCTGTGTGATCGCTGTAAGAATAACAGGATCATAAGTAATTTACCAGTTCTGATCAGCGGTAATCGATATAGTGAAGCAACGAGATCAAATCTGTTTATTTTCTACCACTACAGCACAATGCTTGATCAAAGGATGAAACTCAGTCAGCCACACAGTGGGAAAATATGATATATTTCATCATTTTCCGGTCGATACAGGTTTTGATTTAATTTGACTTGAGAATGGCTTTTACTGGATTACCATGGGAAAGAACTGCTCTTGTTTCACCATGCTCTAATAGGACATTGGTTATGTCCAGGGGGAAATAATTACGTTTTATTTCGTGGTATAGAGACAAGATGACTGAGACTAGACTACTAGACTCAGTTGTTTCCAAATGGACTGGAATCTGAGCACAGTATCTATTTTAGAGCATCGTTTTTCCGCCTTACCGATACCAGCGAATATATAGATGGATTAAGGTAACAGGACAGTAGATACTTTCTTTGTCCACCGACCTCACGTTTGATACTGTCGGTTCCATGCGCTCATGATAATGATATCGGCTGACTTGGGCCTCCCCTGTTAGTGCGCGTTCATACAAGTCCCACTCACGATGTCTTGGATGCTCTAATGCTCGTCATCCGCCGCTCATCAGCGGTTTCGCTATTTCTTCAGGTCAAGGTCGACTTGGGGACAACACGCAGTCCGCTTCATTTGCGGTCAGTGTGATTGTATGCCGACGCACACCCCACACCTACATACTGACAGGTAGACACGTTTGTTTGTGTGGGTACACGTTCCTTGATCCAAGTGTTGCGTTTGTATACAATCGTCACCCGCCGTCTATTTGGTGGCACCACCCGTCAAGCGATCAATTGGTCCATTATTACACAGGCGTCGGAAACGCTGGCGAACTCACCACAGTTACCGTGCGCGCACGCGTGTTTGTTGTTGGCCTTGAGTGAACTGTGGGGTAGTTACAATCACTACAATTGGAACCGGGACAGGTGTGGGCCATATCCAACCTCTGCGGAATTGAGTTTAATTTAGTTTACGTTTATTCCTTTGACTATATGATCTGGTAATTACTTCGCATCGCGGAACACATACTCCTAGATTTCCGTAAGTGACAGTTTTTCTGAGTTGTTTGTCCGGAATCCGAACGCCTTAACAAACCATGCATATTATTAAAATTCATGTCCTTAACTTACGTACGCTAGAATGGACGATTGAAAGCGAAAATCAAAAGGACTTGTCTACTCCCAAATCCCAGCACCAAAATTATCAGCTCTCATAATTGAACGCTCAGTAGGTCTGTGTGGTCATGATAGGGCTTGCGCTTTTGTTTTCTTTATAACACTTGGGTCTGTATTACGAAATACAAACACAGTGTGATTGCTGTTTCCGTCCGCATCCAAAATCGCTCGATCGGTATGAAGATATGCATCTCAGTTGACTGAGAAGCATCGTTACTCAACTACCTCTGTTGAAAGTACTTTATTTTATCTTCAATAGATACTCCAACAAGGACACAGCGAGGTAGTCCCTCCGAGTAATCACCTGCTAGTTAACCGTGACTCAACAAGAAGCTACTTTCCTCATCATGTTTTTATTTTTTGCCGACGTTTGCATGGATTACTTGATAGTGGTCGTAACTGTTGTCAGTTGGGGTATACATGTTTTGATTATTGGTGGGGTTGGTTTGTTCAGCTCTGAATGAGCCTATCGACAATTTTTCTTCGATGAACAATATTCCGTAATAAATGGGCGTTGTTTGTGAGGTTTGTGACAAACTCGATAAACGCATTTGTGTGTCCGTGCGTGCATGCCTGTATGTACAATCGTCTATTTCTCATCCCAAACATCCCTTCGTTTGTGGTTTCATGTGACTTGGTGAATTTAGCTAAGACGACTTATCGCTGCTGTTCGTGTGCAAATTTGCACGTTTTGTCAGTGTCTCATTTACGTGAGGATTGGGCTGTGCAATCTGTCACATCCCGGTCTACGCGCCAGTCTCAACCCGTTTGGTTGCTCCCAGTTCGACAGAGCTTGATCGTTCTGTCTGTCGTATGCCTGATTTGTGTTTCGAATTTGGGGTACCTTGGTTGCGCTTACACATGCATCTGTTCGCTGCGAGCACCGGCGCATCACTCATTCTGTATCTGTGTGGGCTCGTTTTATTAGTGCTTATAGATATAATTTCGTTGTTGCTCTTGCTGTTGTTCTCGTGATTTGCCATTCTGTTTTTTGGTTTGTCTCGCTTAGCCTATTCTCCCGGCTTTTTGCTCCCTCTGCCCACCCATCCATCCTGCCGCATACACATATAATCTCCGTGTTTGCTTGCGTCACTTGCTTGGTGCCACCTCAATCCATTCGGTCACCCATCCCTCCCCAATATTGCTGCCGAACCGCGATCGTCGTCGTCGTCATTGTCGTCTTCGTTGTGTGGTAATCCTGGTCTCAATGTCGTTGTTTTGCCACCCTCAACAACAAAAGCAACAAGCTGCTGTCGCTGCATTTCACGCTGTAGCTCGAGCTGTGGAAACGACAGGGGACGAACATAACACGACCGGGGCGAAAGCGATCACGTCTACTGCTCCCATCTCAGTGGCCAAACTCGAATCAACTCCTACTGCAACTGTCCCTGTCTCTCTGGTGTCAAGCATGTCTTCCCCTGCGGTTCGGGCTGGCATGAAACGTGAAGCCGCTAGCTGCAGCACCAGCACCAGCAATTCGGTGGGCACTGCAAACGCTGGCTTGGATATGCATGTGGGTGTTATTATTTTTTGCCCGCGCGAGTGTGTGTGCACCTGATCATTGTCATTCTCGCTCGGTTGACCTGTTTCGCTGCTTTTCCCTCTAAGTTCGCCGTTTCAATCCTTATTATGCTGTGTCGTGTTATCTATCTTGTCTCACATGCTATTTTCGTTATCACACGCTATAATAACATGAGAATGTTCGTGTTGAATGTCGTTGCCTTTCGCCCACATCGGCTTTTATGTTTTCGCATGGATGTGTTCAACCGTGTGCACGTGGATGCATCCGCGCGTATCCCTGTTTGCCCCACAAAAACTGGGTGACTTCTTTGATCAGAGGGCCGATGACGCAGGTACTGCCGCATCCAGATTATTACTCTCATTTCTGCACGTACAATGCGCTTCTCTGTCTATGATTATCACTACTACAGTATCCTGTTTCTCTACCCCATCATCATCTGTCCTTGTGATTAGCCAGTCGTTTGTGCAGCACATTGCGCAACACAAAGTAATTCATCCAAGTTTTTCTGTCTCAACTCATGCTATTTCCAGTTACCATAATCAGAGCTCGGTTACTTTTTCTATTCTGACTGAACTGGGGCATTTCGATTGGAAATTTTCGGCTTTATTCATCCGTCCCGATCAACGGATAGCCTTCTTTAATTCAGCTTGTCCAATAGTTCTAACTTCGATCATCTGTCCCTGTAGGAATACATTGGGTGGCTGGTTGTAGGTGTGGTTCGTGGCACTCCAGTGTGCTTCCTGGAGTCTTGATACAAACTGCCATTGATGAGCAGAGATTCGTGATTTAGAGTTTACTGCTGAAAGTCAGGAAATAAATATCAAGAAATCATAAAAATTGATTATTTGTGTCGTTGGGTTCATCCCTGGCAAACGAATGTGCTCAATTATGTTGTTTGGCAGATTTCAGTCTGTTTGAATCGGCCCAACATCATAATGGAATAATTACCGTTGCCCAAGAGCCTCATTCGGTGGGCTCCGGGGGATTCTAATAAAAATCTGTCTTGGCAATAAGCAACCTGGTGGATTCCATATACGACTGTAAGTTGAATAGATAATCCAACTGTGAAAAGATCAGTGCTGTCGGTGTGGCCTCGTAGCTCAGCTTGTAGAGTGTGCCCCGTGCGAAACCGTAAGCAACGTCCGTGTGTGATTTCAAATCCACTTTTCACAATTCGAATGAATGTGCTACTTACCATGTGTTTCAAGACAGTCATGGGATGAAAAATTATTACTTCAATGCAGGAACACAAAAATCTGTTTTTCACTCTTGTCTACCATATGGAATGAATCTTAATATTTCATTAGTATGATATTCACTTAGAGAACGTTGTCGTCCTTTTTCTTCCTGAATAACTTTTAAAGGCTTGAAATTGTTCTGCATGTATATACCACGGAACGCACTCAACACTATTATGTGCATGCATATTTTGAATATCGCTATTGTGTTCTGTATTTCGTGCAGCCTTGGTATCCTCCTAAACGTGCGAATCATACTGGTGGATATTCTGGTGAAGCGACTCCCAAAGCTTCCGATTCTATGGATAATAACGGTTCAGCGGGAACAATGTGCAATGGAAACGGTCCACACTCATGCCAAGATCGACCAAACAGCGAGTCTAGCGTGTCTACCTCGGTTACCGGGGATTATGTCTCCGATTCTAACAATACATTGAACCAAGTTTTTGCATCCACCACCGCTGGGCTTACATTCTCACCTGCCTTCTACGGCTCGGTAGCTCCTCATTTGACTCCGTCCTCTGCTGCCGTGTCAAGTCTCCTCAATCCGATGAACGTAAACCTTTATGGATTACCGTTGTCCAACGCTCAAACGGCCTCACCATACGTTTCGCCCCAACTCGCTCCATATTCATCAACAATCTATTCCACACCGACAGACAATCCCAATTCCATGGCCACAGCTGCTGCGGCTGCTTTGGCACTAAATAGTTGGCTTCAACAACAACAGCAACAGCAGCAGCAGACCCACCCTCAACAACCACCGCAACAACCAACTGCGACACCCACTCATCCACTACTATCAACTCAGGTTCCCGGCACCCATCCACTATCCACACCTTCAGCTTTGGCTGCTGCCCTCGCTGCTGTCCAACAACAACAGCAGCAGCAGTCACACAATCCCGCGGAATTGCACCCTAGCGCACAACAACAGACACAACATTCACCGGCATTCCAACACCATTCTCAGCAACAGGCTCTGCTTCTCTCCACCTTGATTCGAGCTCAACAATCTCAACTAGCTGCAGCGCAAATGGCTGCCGCTGTGCAGGCTGCTGGCTACTTGCAAACTAATACTTCCCCACGTCCTATCGGAATCTTGGATCCTTCATGTAAGCAACCGGACACTTTTCGATAAAAAGTTATTCTAAGGTCTACTAACTAAATTGAGGGGATGATGAGATAGGGTCACCACCACGTGTTCTCGACGCTGCTCCGAATTATGAGCTCCGACCTCTGACGTGTGTAGCCCGGGTGGTGCACTAATGCTTTTTCATAAACGTTGCAGTGAGAGGTCTGTCTGTCTGTTGTGTACTGCTCTGTGTAATATTTCCCGCGGTTGATAGTGATTTGTGAAACAGTAGTGGGGAACTGTGATTCTCTGTGGTGGTACGCGTACAGCGCGAACTTTGGTGATATCTTTCGCTCGCTGGCTCTCATTCAGCTTTTTTCTGTCTTTTCATTGGATCAATCGTGTGATCCATGCTTCTTATAACAAGTTATTTTCCAATAATCCGGTGGCATCAGAGGGTTGGGGTGATGCCTGTGTTCACTTGTTTCAACCGAACAGCCTCCTGATATCACTAATTAATAAGTGCGTTGGGCTGTTTTAGGGGTATCGCCCTCGTCACCAGCAGTGTGATCTCAATTTACACACACAGGACAGATACAATGAATTATCATTCTGAAACTTGTGTGAAACACATAATCATTCACCACAAGCTTGAGAAATTGAAAACCAGGGTTTGAAATTCATGGTCAACAGTTCAGTGTTTTGGTGATCAGATGCTCCAGCTGATCGAAGAGATGGTATTTCAGAACGGTGTGTCTTTAAGAAGGAAGGAAACCGATACTCACTGGTGGTGTTAGAGTGTAAAGTACATCAAGCGTGGTTTTTCATTCTAAATTCCGATGATTAGATCACCGGCTCTTCTAGCCGAGCGTTGGAGATCATGGAAATAGACTGATTCAAGTTCTAATGTTCGATCTTTTACACACTCCGGACTCCAAGTTGGAATCCCGGCACCTCCTATCTAACTGGCGAGCGCCCATCACCCGGAAATGTTTCAGTCACTGTACCTTTCTCAGTTTAAGATGTCCGACTATCAATCTAAGATGTCACAGCATCATTTTAAGATTTCCGAATATGAATGATGTCGCAAAATCAATTTAATATGTCCGAGTATCAGTTTAAGATGTCTTCTTGCTATGTGGGTAGTACGATATTGCGATTGCTCCATCGTTTCACATAGTCTTGCAATTTTTGTGATGACCTCGTTGTCATGTACAGTGCATCCGTGTGGTGATGACAAGCCTGATGTACAGTCGGAGTTCACTGGGCCTGATAGAATACTCGCGGCTGTAGACAAGGTGTGACTTCTCGCTCGGATTAGCCGGGCGAACACCAGGTCCCTTGTCGCGGCTGAACTATCCGACTGATCAATAGATGAACCCGATCGGTCGCGTGATTTTCGGGCCGGCATAGTTCTGAGTCTCACGCGGAAGAAAGCTTCCCTGTATTACTCTGTACGATGATGATGATGATGTATCTTAGATGAGTCAAGCGTTCACCGAGTGTCATCATCGCTTGAACTTTTACCATTCCGAATTTCCCACATGGTGCATCGTCCCACAACGGATTCTCCTGTTGTGATTCCAACCAACACCTAAGCCGCGTGGTGTTCGCCCGGCTAATCCGAGCGAGAAGTCACACCTTGTCTACAGCCGCGAGTATTCTATCAGGCCCAGTGAACTCCGACTGT